TCGCTTATGGTAATCAATTACCCAGATTGTGGTAATCGATTATCGCATTCAAAATTTCAAATTTTGCGCCACAAAGAAGGAAACTTTGAGAATCACTCGTAACCACTTGTTCTGAGCTTTGTTCCACCTACGAAACTTGTCATTTGATATTGTTGCAATAATACCTGAAATAAACTGTGAATTGTCTCATGCGCTCGAAATAACCGCTGAAAAAATATATGTTGAAGCCTCTGATGCTTGTTGCTTGAAAAACTAAGAATAAAAGAGAATCTTGAGGCACAAAAACAACTTGATCTCATGTCCCAATAACCAATGACATCATATGATTAATGATGCAATTGCGTGAAACATTGGCCAATTAAGGTTAAAATGAAAGGGAAAATTTATGGGTGCTACATCTGCCCCTATTCAATGGAGTTGGACCTGAAGGATTGATAGCAACGACTTTCAGACAATCAAGGTAGAAAGGGATTGAATTCAAAAAGAACCCAAAAATTTGCACACTATGCGAAGAAAAAGGATAATTGGATACCAGTCATGAACTGGATTTTATAAAGACAGGCCAGATAGGAACTAACTACCAGGCGATAACTGGTTTTTGAAAAAAAGGTTTACCATACGAGAACTGGACTTTGCAAAGATAAGCCAAACGAGAACTAGATTTGAATGAGACAAGTCAGACGGGAAATAACTACCAGACGAGAATCAGGATTTGAAGAGACAAATCAGATGGGAGCTGACTACCAGACGAGAACTGGGTTTGAATGAAACAAGTCAGACGAGAACTGACTACCAGATGAGAACTGGGTTTTGTAAAGACAGGTCAGACGGGAACTGACTATCAGGTGAGAACTGGGCTTACCAAATGGTTGGTTAGGAACCAAAAAGGGGTTACTCGGGAACTAAGATACTAGTCTGGAACTAGATTTTGTAAAAAGCACCAATCAAAGGCGGAATTACAACAAAGAGACGGTGGTGAACCGAAAAGTGTTAACAAGAAGTAGAATCAATGGACCTACGACCTAAAGATAATATGACTCCGCTAGGGAAAAGAAAAATCTTAGACAAATACACTTGCAGAGGAAAACATAAGATAATTCCTCTAAAAGGAAATGAGAGTAAGATTAACGAGTCTACTGCTTAGGGAAAAAGTTAAACACTTTCTCCAGGATTACATCACTTTCTGTTGGGGAAAGGTCTAGAAAAAAGGTTATCAAACTTGGCTTATGCTTCGAATGCATGTTTGAAATTATCTATGGCGCAATGCTCCATACGAAATGGAAATGTTATGCATTTGAGGATGATATGAAATGATGCTTATGTATGCAAAATACTAATGCAAGCTCGGACTGCTGGGCATACGAGGATATGTGACATAAGGATTATGATTGTGCCAAATACGGTTGGGCTTTGGATGTAAATTACCAGATCAGAACTTGTTTAAAAAGGTATACTACCAGGTGAGAACTGGTGGCAAAAGGTTAAGTTGTCAGACGAGAAATGACTTCTTGTTTTTGTATCAGCCGGGAACTGATTTTATGGCTTTCCAGACAAGAACTAGACTTTGAAACGATGTTTACCAGACGTGAACCGGTGTTAAAGATAGACCAAAGATATGGTGACCAGACGAGAACTGATTTAAAAGTTGTTTACCAGACGAGAACTGGTATCTTGAGATGATTTTCCAGACGGGAACTGGTTTTTAAAGGTAGACTTCTAGACAAGAACTGGTGGATGGAGGTTAAGTTTTTAGACGAGAACTGACTTCTGCCTTGGTTTGTTAGACGAGAAATGACTTTGTAAGTAAGCTAAAGAAAGGGTGACCAGACGAGTACTGGTTTTTGAAAGTTGGCACCTACCAGGTGAGAACTGGGATTGAATGCCATCTACCATATGAGAACTAGTATCTCGTGAAGGTTTTCCAGACGGATTTGGTATTTGAAAAGGTTTGCAGACCGGAACTGGACTTTGGATGAACGGTTGACCAGACGAGAACTAGACTCTGAAATGGTTTTTCAGACGAGAACTGGAGTTTGGATTGCTGAGTGATAATGGGTTACAAGGTCCTCTGATGCCAGATCCAAGTTACGGGATGAAGCCCAGTGATAGAATGCAATGTTTTATGCTTGAGTGAAGCAAAATGACTTATGCATGAGGATGATTTATGCAATGATTATGCAAGTTTCCAAAAATGGAAGGAAAGTCTTTGTAGCAAGGCTTCTTGTTCGAAGGCAAAAGGGGACTTGATAAGGTAATAACATGATTCCCCAAAACTCATCTTGAACTCGACATTTGCTGACGAAATAGAATTGGCTTGCGTAACTTGAAAGCACAGAGAGGTCCTACCCATATGTAGCGTATTTTTCCCAATTCTGGCATGTCTTTGCAAAATTTTCCCTGAAAAGAAGTTTGGGAAATAACTTCTTTGAAAGATTTACCCTAATAATCTGAACTTTGACACATGCTGCCCCTGATTATCCAATTCTTGTAATGGATGACTTTGTTGCGCTCTCGAGGACAACTGATCTTAGTGAGCTCTTGAGGTGACCTACCCTGGTATGAGCGTGGAAGCGAATTAACTCGTTTTGACTGGGCATTGGAGGGATTCTCCCTTAGTCAACATAACCTCTAGATGGCTTGCCCGTGTTTGGTAAAGTCTTGAGATGATTCTCCTCTGATCCACTGACTCTTGGCTGTTTTGCCGCATAATCAACTGATGCTTTGAGGACTAACTGATTCCATACTCACTGGATGTCAATGCCCTAGACCCAAAGGACTACAAGGTACACTTGATTCTGATCCAGACTGTTGAATTATCCAGTCCTCTTTGATTGCTCCTTGTTGGAATTTCCTCAGTGTCAATTACTAACTCGCAACTAAAAATTATTCATTCACGAATGGTAATTTTAATGCGATTCTCATGTATATTTTGAAAAAACCATCATTATTAAAATGATGTGGTAGTGTGTGATGAATGGACCATTAGCCCAAATGCAATGCTGATTTAGGTAGTGAAATCAAAAAGAAGATTATCAAATCTTTAGGAGTCAGTTTACGTAACCTTGCTGTAGTATGCTTTCAGAATAGATCCTGCTTCAATTAGGACTTTTGAGGGCTGTAATGTGGTATGGTTCACGGTTATTGAAACAAAGGATAAAAGACTCAAAGTTTATTTTAACACACCCATTCTCCTCGATGTTCTCCAATACTACGTTCAGCTAATTTGACACAAGTGCTCAACTTTCAAAATGTTTATTGAATGGTATGCATGATGGTTAAGGAACCCACAAGTTTTCGGAGTGACAGTCACCCCTCTTGTCTTTGGGATCTTGTAATCACCCGACTTATTCTTGCTCGAAGATTTTTCTTTTGTAATCCTTTTTTTTTGTTTCTCACTCCCTAATTTTTGTCTGGACTGATTCTTTTGAATTTTTTAGATTTTGAAGTCCAGTGGGATGCCCTAACTTTTTCCTAAGTCACTCGTTTTAGAGTTTTTGACTTATCGACCTTTTTTCTTTTGATTCTTTTTTCTTGAACAAATCGTGTAACACTGACTTGTCTTAATATCTCCGAAAGGGTTGTGACTGCCTCATTCCTCATAATGAGGGATAACCATTATGGTTTCACGTTCTTTGACCTCTTGATGAACGAGGAATAACATGTGATTGATCCTTAAATGCATAATCCTTTTGAAAGTTGAACGCCCAATCAAATTAACTGATGACTACCCTATCCTAGGTTAAGATGTGAGGGTTTTTTCATACAAAAAGAAACTCCTACTTCCATGCTCAAGTTGATGGCACATGGTTGTACGAGAAATATAAGGGCACGCTACAAATAATAATAATAAAAAAGATGAAACAAAACACAAAACAATGAAACATCAAGAAATGAATGTGCAGTCTTATTTATAGATTTTTTTTTACAAAATTTATTATGTCTTTTAATTATTTTTTTTACAAAATATTAAATATGAACAAATTTTATTATTATTTTTAATTTTTTTTTACAAAATATTAAATTATATATATATATATATATATATATATATATATATATATATATATATATATATATATATATATATATATATATATATATATATATATATATATATATATATATATATATATATATATATATATATATATATATATATATATATATATATATATATATATATATATATATATATATATATATATATATATATATATATATATATATATATATATATATATATATATATATATATATATATATATATATATATATATATATATATATATATATATATATATATGCCCTACAATTGAGATGCTATATGGTACAGCGACTCGCTGTAGGGTAGATTTGTGTTTTTAAGGATGACGTTATATAAAATGGCGACTCAGGTCCAGAGAATCTTGACGAGTCATTTCATATGAAGATTTAATGGAGAAACATGACCACTTTTTAATTTTTTTTGAATTTTATGTTTAATCGGTATTTTTGGAAAAAATAGTGTTATTTTAAAAGAAAATTCATGTTATCGTGTATGAAACGTGAAATTAATTTTAACAAAAATAAAAAAATATAAATAGTCTCCCGCGCCCGTCTAGGCCATATCGCAATCGTCTTGGACTGTCCTTGAAGTTGAATTCGACTGCTATTGACTACTATACTTGTAGGCAGCGCGAGGGTTTAGGTTTGAGTCTGGGTTTGGGGTTTAAGCTTTAACCCCCTTCTTCACATTTCTCACTCCTTCTTTCTTCAGGCAACTCTATTATCTCCAATTTTTCATTTCTTTCTTTTCTTTTTTTACGCTTTAGTTCTTATGAATGTTTTCTTCATCTTCATCAAATTTATCTCCACCTGCAACGTCCCTCAATTCTCGCGATTTTTGAGATTTTGAACGGACCGGGCCGGGTCGGGTCCATATACTTCTCTATGCAATTTAATTTTGCTACTTATTAATTGTTGTAAAGTTTGTACGTTCTTTAATGTATGCAGGTTTCGAAATGATGCATTCTGTAATTAAGGGTGGTTGGAGGCCAACGTTTGCTCTTGCAAAGAAAAATGATTCTGAAGGGAGAAAGACCCGGGTTCGCCTCTCTAAGGAACAACGAAAAGCAATGGTCGAATCTTTCATTAAGAAGTAATTCATTCCCTACTATCCCTACTTTATTCTTGTTTTTTGGTTATATCTATACCAATTATGATATTTGATGAGTTACAGGAGAGATTCACTCATTTTGTTGAACTAGGGGAGAATGTGTTTTTGGATTCGTACGCGACACTTAAGTTACCTATCTTTTAGTTGTGCAGATGTAATGAAAGAAGAAATAATGGCTAATGTGATAAATTATTTTCGTTACATTTTTATCATTTAAACTGAGATGCCTATATTTGCTCAATTATTATTCACAGACAAGACATTTAGTTGTTTTAATAGGTTGAATACTTGAGTGGAGTGATAAGTAATCAAATTCTCTTGTTTGGATTTGCAAATAATGGATGGAGCAGAATGGAACATGATGGAATCCATTTCACCCTATTCCATCCAATTCTTTAATTCTCATTCCCCCAATTTGGGATGTATGCAATGGAATGAACTAATTAGTTATGTTCCATTCCGTCGAGTTAATGTATATACTCAAACAATGAAATGAAATACCTGATCCATTCCGTTCTGCTCCACTCCATTCTATTATGTTTCACTCCACTCTGCTCTATTTTAGTCCATCAATCCAAATGTAGCCTTCAATATGCACTTGTTTCTCCATTATTAGGATTTAAGTCAAGCTTTAGAAGTCTGTTTTGACAATGATATGTTGAATGTATTACTTCACTTGTATTAAAGTTACTTGTTTTCAGGTACCAAGAGTTAAATGGTGGAAACTTTCCACCCATTAGGGCTGCGCATAGAGAAGTTGGTGGATCTTTCTACACTGTAAGGGAGATTGTACGGGAAATAATTCAAGAAAATAGGGTCTTGGGTCCTGCTAAATTCAACTTAGAGGAATTCGACGCCGATCAGTTTTCGGAACAAAATCCATTGGGTTCAATTGCACGTGGCCCTCAACCTTTTCTCGCTGCGTTTTCAAATGAAGATCATCCTGAACATAACAAAGTTCCCGATACGAATGACAAACTGCTTTCTGTTTCTGACAATGGACGTGTCATAACTGTTGACCATGTAGATGTGACTAACAAGGAAACCGTTGAAGCCACTGTTGTTTCTGATGAGTATTATACTGGAGCTGAGTATCCTGTGGGTGTCAACGGGCATGTGACAAACAATGAATCTGTTGAAGCTGCTGTTGTTTTTGATAGGTATTTTACTGGAGCTGAGCTTGAAATTGTTGACAAAGAGCATGATGTAGATTCTAGCAAGGTAGATGTGGTGGACAAGGATTCTGTTAAAGCTGTGGTTGTTTCTGATGACCATTGTACCAGAGGTGAGCTCGAAATTGTTGACAAAGAGCATGTCATAGATTCTAGCAAGGTAGATGTGACAAACAAGGAATCTGTTGAGGCTGTGGTTGTTTCTGATGACAATTGTACTGGAGGTGAGCTCGAAATTGTTGACAAACAGCATGGCATAGATTCTAGCAAGGTAGATGTGACAAACAAGGAATCTGCTGAGGCTGTGGTTGTTTCTGATGACCATTGTACTGGAGGTGAGCTCGAAATTGTTGACAAGCATGGCATAGATTCTAGCAAGGTAGATGTGACAAACAAGGAATCTGTTGAGGCTGTGGTTGTTTCTGATGGCCATTGTACTGGAGGTGAGCTCGAGATTGTTGGCCAAGTGCATGACATAGATTCTAGCAAGGTAGATGTGATAAACAAGGAATCCAATGAAGCTACTATACCTGAGAATAAGCCCACGGAACCCAAACTGAATGTCGAACAAGAGTTGGCAGCTACCACAATGCCATCAGCCAAAGTAAATGTTCTAACAAAAGACTTGATAGTAGAGACATTTCCATTAAGATCTGTTGCTAGGACTAGCAGTGGAGCAGAAGGTTCTGAAGAGTTGAAGGACTCTGGTAATTCCCTAGAAAGGGATATAAAGAAGTTGGAATTGGAACAAGGTAAGAATTCTGAACAAAATGGCATAGAGCCCACAAATAATTCTACTTTATTGGATGAGAAATTTGAGAATGCCCTTGGAAACAAAAACTTGAAGGAAATCTCCAACGATAGGCATGATGTGAAAAGTGCAAATCATTCTACCCACAACGAAGAAGTCACTGTATCTCATCAGAAAGCTATAACTTTTGAAACCAATAACCAAAGTCAGGTTGAAAATGAAGCTAAGGTTAGCCTTTTTATCCCTAGTTTTATTTTTCAAAATTATCGCCATTACTTAGAAAATTGTGGTGCGGTAGATGAGATGCCCTTGGTTAAATTATCACCATTACTGTCAGAAAATTGGATATTACTAAGAATGTGTCATTTTGTCTTGTTTTCTTGATCCTTAGCAACTGCATCAATTTATTTGCATCTGAAACAATCATTCATGTTGCGGGAGGAGAAACTGAAACTCGTATGTGACATTTAACATTGTAAATGCATTTTGACAGACAAACACTCAAGATGATTCAAAATCTTCAGAAGAAGGCCAGCATAAAGCTGATAAATACAGACTTGATCAACTTGGTGGCAATTCCCAGAGAAGAGTCAACACAACTGTTGATAGGATCAATCTGTAAGCACATATATATCTTGATGTTTTGATCTCACATGCCAATTAGTTTAATGAAGTAAAATTGAATTGGTTCTTTCCTTAATGGTTTTATAATTGCAGAGAATCATGGGATGGAAGACTGAAGAAATCGGAAAAAAAGGAAGCCAACCCTCTCTTAGCTCTATTGAAAGCCATTGTCAATGCATTTGGGAAATTATTGTCGGAATGAAGATTTTAGAATTTGTTTCTTATTCTTTTCTATGGTTTGACTGTGGAGTTGATGTTTTGTACCTGGTGGAAAATAATTTTCGTTTGGTCAATGTGCTCACCTCCCTACTTTATAAAATTTTAGAATAGTAAGGTTTTGTTTTCGCGACTTGATTGTGTGGGTTATGAGGGTATGCGTTTCCAAAAATGGAAAGCTCCGTTATGACTTTTGAAAAATTTTAAAATGGAATATTTTAAAGATTTTAGTAATTTATTTTTTAAAAAACTTTAGTAAAATGGAATATTTTAAAAACTTGAGTAAAATTTGTTTTCTTCGAAAAATAGAGTATCTTTGTTTGTATTTATAATTACACTTTGTGAATTTATTCGATAAACACAATAACTATATGATATAATATTTATTGGATAAAATACTAAGGTTCATTGGTCTTTAAATATAACATCTTGAATTTTTTTCTCTTCCTTTTCTGTAAGATCGTCTACAATTTCAAAGTGTAAATAATATTTATTGCATCTTTTTCTACATCATCCAACTTTCTTTCTTGATATCTGTAATTTTCTAGTGTGGATCTTATATTAAAAGAGAGTTAGAAATATTTAGCTAATAAAAATATTAGGAATGATTATCTTTTGTAAAGATATCTTTTGTGTGGATATTATATTTAAAGACAGAGTTTGAAATATTTATTTAATAAAAATAATAGGATTGTTTAATTAGTTACAAAGTCTTAGTTTAATTTAAGATTTTATTTTCGTTTCGTATCTAATAGATGTTATATTTTAATATTTTAAAAATTTTAATTTCTTAAAAACATGTAGAGTCAAATTGATCTTTTATTTTAAATTTTGTAAAAAAAATTTAAGTTTAAATGTACTTTTACTCCCCTTAATTTATCTGTTTTAAATAATTGATCATCCTATTACAAAATCAACAAATTTGATCTCTTAACGAGATGGGTTTTCGATTTGTATGATCCCCTATCCTTTTGCATGTACCATTGCTATCCATGTTAGCAAATCTGAATATTTTAATTAAAAAATTATTAAAAATTATTGTGCAAATTAAAGAAATAAATTATAAATTGAAAATAGGCAAAGGTCAAACATTTTTTTCCCAATTCACATCCTCGTTTTTTAGAAAGTTAAAAACCCTACTTCCTCATTGACACCCATCCTTCATTACATGCGAAAATTTTCTCATCCCTCAATCACAACCATTGTTACCCCCCTTTGTCCAAAGCATTCAACTGTGCACATCGTCCAAATCGAAGTTGTGTAGTTGTGTTTCAAAGGTGTTTGGTTTGACAAAGATGACAAACTCAACAAGTCAAAAGGAGAGAAATGAAGGAGTCAAATACTGTGTAAGGTACGTATCACTGTCTTTGTGGTACCGTTTGTTTAGTACAATTATTGTATTCTTGTGGTTCCTTGTGTCAGTTTATGTTTGGTTTAGTTAATGTATTATTGTCGTGCTTGTGGTCCTGTTTGTTTAGTATCGTTTATGTATTCTTGTGGTCCCTGGTGCCACATTATGTTTGTTTTATTCTAGTTTTGTCAATTTTTTCTCAGGCTAGCTAAGACTAATAAGACTAGGTTGAGAATACATCATATGAGAAAATTAGTTGAGATGCCTCTTAAGTTGCATGTATATGGGGAAGTTACCGAGATGAATTAGAGTTGGAATGTCGATTATATCTCGTACATGGAATTAGAGGATATGATTAAGAGTGAGGGTTACATAAATATAAAGTGCTTGTGGTATTAAAACCCTGCATATAACTTTTCTCGTGGTCTTAGACCCTTGAACAATGATTAGGTTGTACTGCAATTTTCAAAAGATGTTGTAGAATATGATGTAATAGATGTGTATGTGGAGCATAGTGTGGGGATTCCTGAGATTGTTGTTGATAGTGAAGTAGATGCTAACATAGAGGATGATGGTGAAGATGATGTACAATGTACTCGTTTTAAGAGTGCGAATGTTAATGAGGATGATGTTGGAGTAGGTGCTAACCTTGAGGATGATTGTGAATATGATACTAATGGTGTTACTAAAGAAGTTACAACAGATCCTAATATTGCTGCTGAAGAAATGACTAATGATCCTAACGTGGATGTTAACAATGAAACTAGGCTAGAAGGTAATGATGAGGACTATGTTGGAAGTGAAGGTAGTTTTGAGGATATCGAGTTTCACTTTAGTGAAGAGTTTGAGGAGAGTGAGATGGACTAGACTAAGGTACTTCCCCAAGAGACTTTAGGTGAGGTTACCAGCGGCCAAATCAAGAAAGACTAGGCTAACATAGTTCATGATGAGAGTGAGGACTCAGACCATTTATATATACCTCCAGGGAGTGATGACGATGATGAGGGAATGAAGTTCCCTACCTATAAGTCTGGTCAGGGAATGAAGTTCCAACTAGGGATGATGTTTAGATATAAGGAAGTGAAAATGGATGTTTAGAATTTCTTTATTAAGAAGAATGATTCAAAAATGATTGTGGTTAAATGCACCGATGGTTGTAAGTTCTACATGAGACTTAGCAAGTAGTGAGTTTAATTGAAGATCATACATGCCATAAGACTGTTGACAATAGAAGTTCAAAGACAAAGTGGCTTGCCAATAGGTTTCTAAACCTTGCCATGCTGTTGTTGAAGCTGAAACAAAAGACTCATGACAATGGTTTCTAAACCTTCTTCTGCATGATTTGGAAGGAAATATTCAAAGGTCATATGCATTTATATCATACCAGCAAAAGGTATATGACTTATACTTATGATTTACTTGTTTACATATAACTATGTGATGACAGTCCGTCGTTACATAAATTCTGTCAAAGAATTAGGGAAAAAATAAGCAAAAGAGGAGCCAAAGTGATGAAGAAAGACACAAGAATGAGTGAAAATTGACCAAGTATAGAAGAATGGGACTTAGTGAAAATTCTGGTGAAAAGGGGAAGAAAAACACGCAGCTACTGGAATAATCACGCGCAACATCGCGCCGTATCACACACACGATAGAAAAGTAAAGGAACCATCGCGTGTGCGGTGCTTCAGTAGCGCATGCGATGACAACTTTTTCTGACGCGTTCTGAGCCATTCTAATAGCTTTAATAGGAGATTTTCTTCACTTTTGCAAGGGTTACAAAATTTGGCAATGAAGCATGATTTTACAACATCAGAGGGTGATTTTGAGAGCAACAAAAGCCATTAGAGGCTAATCTTTCAAGGAATTTCACAAGATATTCATCTTTTATCAATTGGTATTGTAATTTTAATGATGTGTAGCTAAATTCTCACAGGTTAGGTTCTGTCTGATGAACTTTATTAAACCTTGTTGGCATTATATGGCAATTTAACTTTGTATGAACCTTATCACTTATAATTTTATTCAGTTATTTCTTTTGCTTAATGCATATTATTTGAGATACTCTATTAATATGTTGTTATATGCATATGGATTCCTGACCCGTAGCCTATGTATTGGACCTAAGGCAACTATTTTATTAAGTCAGTTGAATAGGGATTGGATACCTCGAATAGTGGCACAGAGAACTAACGGTCTACTAATCGCCTAACACTGCTTACGCTGGCGAACTAGAGATATAAATCTTCTAGTAGTTGTTAGTGAGTTATTTCGTGGGGGACTGGTTATAATGGTTTTTTTAGTTCGCCGTAAAATTATAAGGATAAGGCAATTCATACAAGGCATCGTTCATCAACAATAGGGAATAAAGGGATTCTAAAACACAACCTAACCGCCTTTGTGACCTTGTTTTCTCTTAAATTTAATTTTTTTACTGTTTTTAGTTAATATTGCACAAATTATTATTCATTTCAAACACAGTTCTTGTGGGTTTGATTTTTTTATTACTGCGGCATTATCAGTACACTTGTTGAGAAGTCATTAAGTTTTTGGCGCTGTTGTTAGAGACTGTTGATTGCAACAAGGAACGCTTTGTGAACGCATTTTTCTTATTTTATTTTAATTTTAGTTTTTAATGTTTTGTTTGTTTTCTTGTTTATCATAGTGTTGCTGAGGTATTTTATGTTTGTGTATGTGCAGTTCAAGATTGTCATTACTAACATTCGATCCAGAAATTGAAAGAACCACACGTGTTCTCAAAAAAGCAGCTAGAGAGGCAATTCTGGATGATGGAAACCAATCCGAAGTAGATCCACCATTACTTTATTTGGATTTAGAAGACGAGAATAACACGGCTGCTCCACAACTCTCAACTATGGGAGATTACTGCAAGAGGACCAACGACGACCAAGTTTCAGAGGGTTTGTATCGGCAGTCGGCAGACCCAACTAACTTTGATATTAAAAATTATATGCTTTCAGGTCTAAGATATAATCAGTTCGATAGGAACACTATCAAAGATATGTGGGCTCATCTTGCATGCTTCTGCGAAACCGCTTCGATGTACAAGCCGAATAATGTCACAAACGATCAAGTAAAGTTGCAATTGTTTGATTTCTCGCATATTGGAAGAGCTAAATATTGGTTGCTATGCCTTCCAAATGGAACCATTTGAACATGAAAGGAGCAAGAGCATAAGTTCTTGGAAATATTCTTTACCACTACCTAATTTACTAAGAGAACGACTGAGATTCTAATTTTGAGCAACAAGATGCAGAGAACTTATATGACTCATGTGAGAGATTTAAATTATTGCTATGCAGATGCCCCAACTATAATCTGAACAATATGGATTAGATGCAAAGTTTTATTAAAGGTCTAATGAGTCAGACACACATGTTGTTGAATGCTTCCGCGGGAGGCACAATTAGACAAATGACTGAGCCCCAAGTCAAGGACCAAATTGAGAAGATGTGCATGAATGAGTACCACACCAAGAGTGAAAGATCAATAAAGGTTAAAACGGTAGGTACACCCAAAGGTATATTAATTGTTGATACTCAAACTAATTTATTAGCTCAAATTGAATTATTGAATAAGCTGCTTGAATAACGCTAACGTGAGCCAGGTACAAG